TTGTCCCGTCCACCTTTCCAGTTTGCAATTGCTGCCCATTTACATTGGTGTGCTTCAGCAGGTAATAAAAGTTCCTCATTCTGAATGATAGCAATCAACATCTCAATTGCATACATGTTATGTCCAGGAACAGCTGAAAAATGAAACATCATTTGTTTTTGGATTAGAAAAGTGATTTTCCTGATGCCACTGCATCTTTGCAGTCTAGAATGATCATGTATTACTTCAGCAGCTTGATTGCATAGTTTAGCACAAATTCTTGATGACTCTTCTGTGTATAGTAGCATGGAGTTTTATACCTTTAGAAAGCTTCGCTTTGTGTACCATCCAACAATTTTATATGGATACAAATGATCGAGGCGTTGTTTTGCTGTATGACATCCTGAGCGAAGATCGCGTGCACCAGCAAACCTTACTCCCGTCAACTGATCGCCAAAGCAAGGACTTTTTACTTCATGTAGTGGATTTGATTCTGAAGGAACAGGTGAAATGCGGAGCCTTGGTTGGTGTGGTTTTGTTGGAACCACCACAATTGGGTATTGGATAGATCTAGACCCTTCAAACTCCTACTAGCCTTATAAATATCATGTGCCTAGTCCTCCAGCTGGTCAAGAACATCTACACGATCACTGTATTTCTTCTCATCCTTCATGAGAACAGGCATAGTGATAATCTCTGATTACGTGGCGGTTGCAACAGAGTTTTCATGTTTCAAGTTGAGTTCCTCTAACATACATGATTTTATACCTGAAAATTTTGTGAGTTTCTTCAGCAGAACTCTTGCAAGTAGAATCTTGTAGCGGTATTTAATAATGTTAATCTCGTCATCAGACCTGTTTCACGCATGTTGCACTTTATAATATCTTTCTGTGGAGTGTGCCCCATCATCATCAAAGGTGATCAGTGGACACTCTGCTGAAAACCATACTTGTGGCAACTGCATGTACACTCTTGTTCTGATGATGTTTCTGCATATCATGCACTCTTTCCTCCCAATCTAGATTGTAAACAACATAGACAAACTTCATGCCAGCTTTTACTAATTCAAAAGCACGCTCAAAGAAATGATTGCCAATTTAATCTAAAACAGCATACTTTTTAAAAGAGCTGAAACAAAATCGAGAGACGATTAATCAGCTAAATGAAATGGTTATTAATTAGTATTATTATGAAAATAGTTATTAACTAGTTATTACATCAAATATGGATAATTGCTCGGAATATGTTCATTTCTGTCATTCTGAATGTGACAGTTATGATAATAAAGTCTGAGAACGCGGTACATTCATTTTTTGGACTCCATGCAGTTGCAGTTCAGGATTTATTGAAATTTTGGCTGAATCAGGTTTGAGAATTCGGAGTCCAGTCCTGAGGCGAGTTTTTGAGTCCAATTTTGAGTCCAATTTTGAGTCCAGAGAAACAAAATATGGACCAGTCCAGTCCAGTCCAGTCCAGTCCAGTCCAGTCCAGTCCAGTCCAGTCCAGTCCAGTCCAGTCCAGTCCAGTCCAGTCCAGTCCAGTCCAGTCCAGTCCAGTCCAGTCCAGTCCAGTCCAGTCCAGTCCAGTCCAGTCCAGTCCAGTCCAGTCCAGTCCAGTCCAGTCCAGTCCAGTCCAGTCCAGTCCAGTCCAGTCCAGTCCAGTCCAGTCCAGTCCAGTCCAGTCCAGTCCAGTCCAGTCCAGTCCAGTCCAGTCCAGTCCAGTCCAGTCCAGTCCAGTCCAGTCCAGTCCAGTCCAGTCCCAGTCCAGTCCAGTCCAGTCCAGTCCAGTCCAGTCCAGTCCAGTCCAGTCCAGTCCAGTCCAGTCCAGTCCAGTCCAGTCCAGTCCAGTCCAGTCCAGTCCAGTCCAGTCCAGTCCAGTCCAGTCCAGTCCAGTCCAAATTCAAACTGTATTCAAGATTCAGACCGTAATTTTTCATATTTTCAGTTAATTTTTTCGTTAATTTCGTGTGAAAACTTCGGAATTTGGTGTAAAGACTATACGGAATTTCTCATTCCTCGATGCTCCCCCCAGTTCTTTCGAAGGCGTGTTTTGCCTGCGCAGCTCTGCCATGTATAATTAGCAAATTATATTCCAATCGGCTTTATCCAATGACTGAACTATTATGCAAGGTGTATAAAAAAACGCAGCACGTAGTTCATGAATATCCGATGTTTTTCACATACATGTCCAATACTCTCGCAAGGATACCGACAGAAAAGATTATTCACCATCGGTAATACACGCTCACTGAAATGATATCAATTCTTCTTCCTAGTAAAAAGTTAACGAAAAGTTGCAGTATACTGTGAAATCATATTAATTCTTCGTTCTCGTAAAAAGCTTTAGCATATAATGGTATATAATTGCACTGAATGGAGTAAAATTTGGTGTAAAATCAAACGCGTGATTACAAAATCAGAATAATAAAATTTTGTGCATTTTCCCCTGTAATTTGATTAGATAGTTACACTGAAATACTAAATCTGATTGGTTATTGTGGCGCAGAGCTTCAATCCTATAGACTTATAAATGATGTGATTAAAAACTAACTCAAACTAACTCAAAAACTAACTCAAAACTGAATGCTTTGCCAACGGACTTACATACCGACGGCAAATTTAATTCTCTGTAAGCTTCAAACGGCTCCCTTGCTTACTTTAAGAGCAAGCATTGCCAGTACATATAAAACGAGACACGCGTACAACATACACCGAGATTTTTCGTCTTTAATTTTAAACAATCTATTTCTGGGTACGGTTCTATCAACAATAAATTTTTATCGTTAAAATCTTAATTATCTTTCTAAACAAAAATTACAAATTTATAATGATTTTTACCTCGTATTTGCTATCAAAAAGGATCCATGTACAAAAAGGCGTCCAAGCACATGGAAAAACAAATTCTACATCCGGGATTTGCACAATCTATGATAATTAATTACCCTTGATCCTACATACCAGCCCCGAACGACCTACATATGTCGTTCCAAATTTACAAAAGGATCGAGGTCTACAGTACAATTAATGTTCTATAGTCTTTTACTTGCGCAAGTTACTAAGTTCCAATTTCGACCTTCTGAAAGCGTCTCTTATGAGCTTTTAAACAACATGACTTCTATCCAGGTTTATCAGGTAAATAAGATTGAACGATTAAACTTAACATTAACGACAACTGTTTATATCATGTTCACAAGGTTAATTTCTTCACCCTTCCGAGGGTTTTTCCTTCGATCCTTCCAAAAGACACAATTTCCTAATATCACGCCGATATCGACTCTGGTTTGCAGTACGGATTGTTACTTGTCTAACATGACCATTGCTATCTGGGAATGTTTCTTCGACAACAGCGAGAGGCCAGTGACCTCGCGGGGAATCTTCCTTCACCATCAGAACAATATCACCTTCGGTTAGATTTCTTCTAGGGGACAGCCATTTTTGCCTCTCTTGTAGACTTGGGAGGTACTCTTTCAACCATCTTGCCCAAAATATATCAGCTAGTTTCTGTGCTTGCTTCCATCTTTCTCGGGGATGGTTAGTTGACGATGTGGTGTTTGCTGAATTACTTCGATTTCGGTAACTAAAGTAAAGAGTAACGTATTAGGTGTCAAGGCTGACATATCGCGCGGGTCGTCGCATTGCCGGGTGAGAGGACGATCGATTTTCTCAACTTCACACATCACCGTTAGAAGAGTTTCATCATCCACAATACGGTCTCCAATTAGAGCACGCATGTTTTTCCTGATTGTCCTTATCATGCGTTCCCATACACCTCCAGTATGACTTGCACTCGGTGCTGAAAAATGCCATTGTATACCTTTATCTCTGAGGCGATCCAAAATTCTAGTTTGATTCCAACTCTGCAACATCTGTTTTAATCTCGATTTCTGCACCCCGAAAATTTGTTCCGTTATCGCTGAACAGTTCTTGGGGTGGACCACGTCTGCTGACGAATCTGCACACAGACTGAATAAAGGAGTCCGTTGAAAGGTCGTGAGATATCTCGATATGTATGGCTCTTATAGTTAAACAGGTGAAAACGCAGCCGTAGCGTTTCACAGTTCCTCTTTTATACTTTACTTTGAGTGGGCCGAAATAATCGATTCCCACCGATGAGAACGGAGGCCCCCCTGGTGTCACTCGGGCTGCTGGGAGTGGAGCCATAATCTGCTTAGCTGGAGTTTGATTACGACGACGACACGATACACACTCACTAAGAACCTTCTTTACTGTACTTGGTCCCTTTACGATCCAATACTTCTGTCGGATTGCTGCGAGGGTTTGATTAGCGCCGGCGTGTCCTTCTTTCGCGTGATAATGACGTACGATAAGCTTCGTAAAGTGGTGGTTTGATGGGAGGATAGCCGGGTGTTTCGACTCTTCAGGTATAGGAGACTTTTCCAAACGTCCACCAACTCTAACAACGTTGTCTTAGATAACTGGGCTCAGTTTAGCAAATCTATCGCTGGCAGTTTCTTTGTTGACGGATGCTTCTTGTTGGGTAATTTTCAAGATATCCTTAGCTGCCAGTTCGATTTCCTTGACGTTCAATGGACCGCGTCGTACCTCTGCAATCCCTTTGCATCTGGACAATAAAAATTGTTTGAATCTTAATAACCATGCGACCGACTTTTGTAAGCGGTACCAACAGGACGGCCGATGAATAAGACAGCTTAGTGACTCTGGAATGGCGCCTTTCGTGTCGGAAACTGCTCCGATATTCGCTTTGGGTTTCTTCACTTCTTGATCTGATTCGTCTACATCGGGTAGGTCAACTGGTTGCTCCGGCCACGATGAGTACTCTTGCCACAGCAAGTTACGTTGATTTCGATCTTTACTTCCGATTGTAAGTCCTCTGGATGCGAGATCTGCCGGGTTAAGCTTTGTTGGCACATGCCGCCATTGATGTGGTGGTGACGCGTCATGAATAATCGGAAGTCGGTTCGCAACGAAGGTTTGAAACCTCTTTGATTGGTTTCTAATGTATCGTAGCACAATGGTCGAGTCAGTCCAAAACACTACGCGTTAAATTTGAAGATCTAGTTCCTCGCGAATTTGCTTGTCTACCTTCACGGCTAAAGTTGCAGCTGTCAACTCCAGTCTTGGTATTGTGACTGTTTTCAGAGGCGCTACTCGTGATTTCCTCATAACTAGACTGCAGTGGGTTCTTCGATCGATGTCTTGATAGCGAAGATATGACGCCGTGCCGTATCCTTCGGATGAAGCGTCGGCAAAATGATGGAGCTCTATACTGTTGATCTCCTTGAACTCTAGCGGTTTGTAACATCTCGGAATCTCTATTGCAGCGAGTGATTGGAATTCGTCCTGCCAGACCTCCCATTTCGTGGCAATCTCTTTAGGAATCTCTTCATCCCATCCGCAATTCTTGCGACAAAGTTCCTGCAGCACGTGCTTTGCTGGCAATACCACAGGAGCGACCAAACCGAGTGGATCGTACATTGAAGCGACAAAGGACAAAATCCCTCTCCTCGTATTTGCCTTTAAATTTCCGTTTCGGAATCCTAGACTGTCCGTCTCCGTATTCCACAACGTCCCTAAGGCTTTATCCTTTGGTAACTTCTCCAAGTTAAGACTCACGCACGGTGCTCTTTCGTTGTCTGGTACGTGGGATAAAACCTCTCTTTCATTCGACAACCACTTCGTCAGTCTGAAACCGCCTCGCGAGAGTAATACCGGGAGTTCTTTCGTCAACCCGATGGCTTCATGTTTCGTTGGCAACGATTTTAAGCAATCGTCCACATAGAAGTTTCGGTTTATCGTATCGACGGTTTCTTGGCTAAATTCTAACGCATTGTCCTCCGCAGTTTTCTTTAGTGCATAGGAACAACAACTGGGTGAAGACGTCGCGCCAAATAGGTGGACTGTCATTTGATATTCAACTGGTTGTTTAGAGAAATCGCCTTCTGGCCACCACAAGAACCTCAGCGCATTACAATCTTCCGGTTTTACTTTAACTTGGTGAAACATCTTTTCTACATCAGCTGTGACCGCTACTCTCTCTTGTCGGAATCTCATCAAAACGCCTACCAACGAGTTCGTAAAGTCGGGTCCTTGCAGCAATTGGTCATTGAGGGACACGTTGTGAAACTTAGCGGCACAATCAAAGACGATTCTAACTTTCTCTGGCTTCTGCGGGTGAGTTACGGGGTGGTGTGGCAAGTACCAGGTTGGTTTCATCGGCGGCGCGTCTTTCGGTTCCTCGACTGGGTTAGGCTGAACTCTCTTAGCATGTCCCTTTAAAATGTATTCTTCCATTGTTGCTTTATACTTTGATCGGAGGTCGGGATCTCTCTCCAGCCTTTTCTTCAAATACTCCAACCTCTTTTCAGCCATGGGTTTGTTATTTGGTAAGGATGGTTCGTCATACTTCCACGGAATGCCAATCTCGTAATGCCCATCTACTAGTTTAACGGAACTGTCCATTATCGCCTTTGCCCGGCGGTCCTCGATGGAGAGACATTCCATAGGATCAGCTGTCGACTCATTAAACTCAGTGTTGTACAGTCTTTGCAACTGTTCGTTTATGGATCTTATACCTTGTACATCTTCTTTACAACCAAGTGCTTGATCCACCTGAATCAAATTCATCTGAGCTTCTTGATAATTCTTCCCATTCAATGGCCCCATTACCGTCCAACCTAAAATCGTTCTCACTGCGTGAGGTTGATTCTTCTTTCCAGAGCGCACTTCATGAGGACAAAGAGCTTCGGGCACATCGCTGCCAATAAGAATAGTGACTTTCTTATCGACCAGGGGCCGGTTGTATCAAAGGCGTTTAAGTCGCTAACCACCGTTTAAATCGCTATCCACCGTATAAAATTTAAACGCTCGAGAAATCGCGTTGTACGAAGCCCGTTTAGCACTATCCGTCGGTTAAATTTTGCCTATCCACCGTGTAAACTTAAACGGTCTCTTGAGACCGTTTAAGTCGTTATACGGCGGATAAATAGTTATTTTCTTAACAAAATGGCGTACAGGTTACCTGGCGTTCATTTTTATGCTCTTCCAAGAGTTAATAGACGAGCCGATAGAATTTTCAGGCGTGAAATAGACGATGTGTTGATGTACTACAGCGACAACGAGTTACAGCGACGCTATCGCTTCGGTCGACAAACCATTAGGTACATTACTCATCTAGTTGAAGACGAATACGTCCAACAACAAACCGTAGCCAGCCAGTTTCCGCGATAAATCAGGTGCTAATAACACTACGATTCTTGGCATGTGGTAGCTTCCAACAAGTTACCGGAGACACGCTAGCAGGCTTGGATAAATCTACAGTGTGTAGAATTATCCGGCGAGTGACGGTGGCTCTTTCTCGGAGGCTTCATGAGTTTGTGAAGTTTCCAGAGACCCAAGAAGAACGAGACATCGTGAAGCAGGGTCTGTACGAGATCGCAAACTTTCCGTGTGCAATCGGTGTCATTGATGCGTCCCATATCCGAATCATTGCGCCAACAGTCAACGAGTGGGATTTCGTGAATCGCAAACGATATCACAGCATAAATGTACAAGGAATTTGTGACCACAAAGGTACTACATCTACGTAAAACTTTTACACTCTTTTATCACCATAATTTTAAAAATGCCGCAGGCCGCAAGCGTAAATATTAATAGGCCACGCATGCTCAATAGCTTTGTTATTGTCAATAAATATAATAGAATATTAAAGTAAGCCGGGTGTTTGTTCCGGGTGTATATACGTGCAGGAAATAATCAGGGAAAATCATGTTATATTGTTATCATGACATGAAATGAATCAAATCAGTCATTGCATGGTCACATTAAAATATTATACGTCAAGGAAAAATCTTCAATGGACAACACGCTTATATCATTACTGCTCAATTAATTAACAGCTTAATGCTAACTATTTTTTTTAATTTTAATAGGGAAATTCACCAACATTGTTGCAAAATGGCCAGGATCGACACATGATAGCCACATCTTCCGGTCATCTAACATCCACCATCGGTTAGAGGGCACAAATTTTGAAAATGGTGTCTTGATTGGAGACAGTGGGTATGCTTGCCTACCATACCTTATGACCCCCTACGCCGAACCTCAAACCCAACCCCAAAGAAGATTCAACCGAGTATTAAAAGTAACCAGATCCCTCATTGAACGAGTGTTTGGTATTCTAAAACGACGTTTTCATGTTCTGCATTCGGAAGTTCGAATGAGTCCAGAAAGGGTGTGTACCATTGTTACTGCGTGTTGTATTCTGCACAACATTGCTATCGACCACAATGAGCCATTGCCTGAAGTTGAGGATGACAGGCACTGGAATGAAGATGAGGATGATGAATTCGTGGGGATCGAGACAGGGCAAGCAGTGAGAGAACACATTGCACACACTTACTTTGAATGAATTGCAACAATTAATAATTTAAAATATTGAACAATTTGCATTTACATTAATTATATGAAATACTGTTATTTATTTTCATGTGTTATTTATACAAACTGAAAGGTTTTGGTTCATGGCAACCTGCAAGATAAAACAAACTTCTTGACATTTCCAGCTAAGGCAGCTCGATCCCTATGAAGGGCCTAATTAGCTCAAAATGTCAAGAATTAAGTTAGTCTTATCTTGCAGGCTGCCATGAACCAAAACCTTTCAGTTTGCAAACTTTGCCATTTTTGGCAAAAGTTGTATCACATGTTTCAACATTATATGTACATATTTTATACAATTTTACATACATTGTAAACTTAAAAATATTAAAATGAAATTATTTTTTACAAAGAATAGTTCAAACGAAATAAAGCACCACTTTCTGTTGTTTGCATGGTAATATGTTTACAATTGTTTCCTTATCTGGGCAAGGTTTGCTCCCCCAAAAAAATGTTAGGCCAGTCACTATACTCTAAAAATTTCGAAGACAACAGAAAGTAGTGCTGTGCAATATTCTAATTGTTGTCAACAATGGTAATAACAGGTTGACTCCTTGCCAAAAGCTCTTGAATCTCAAGCCTTAACTTCTGATTCATGAGTTGCATGTTCTCTACCTCCATCTCAATTTTCTTCTTCTCTATGGTCAGGACCTCCAGTTGCATTTGCTGGATGTCCTGTGTAGAAACCTTGCGTTTCTTTGCAGCCGGTGGTTTCACTGGTTTGGGTGGAGGAGATAAATCACATATCTCTTGCGATGGCTCAGACAGCTCTGATGTTGTTGGCTGTGCTGTTGCTTCAAGTATTTCCGTTATTGAGTCAGATATTATACTATCGGACTCAATAACAGAATGGCTCATTGCACATTCAGGCTGGGATGTTGTAACACAAGTTTCTATAAAATACATATACTGTAAGTTTTAGGTTGCATAGTCTTCAATATTAGTGTATAATTTTTCAGTTAAAATGCAAATATTAAAGCTGTTTAGGGCTGCATCAGTGGTATAAGGCAAAAGGCTAAGCATTTAAATGTTGTAAATGCAATCATCCCAGGGTGTCAGCTAAGCTTACTAGTATTAATACAAACATTACAAGGGTGATAAACTGAACGAAACATTTTGCAACAAAATACTTTGTGCTTTTTATACATTTTGAAGTATTTGAGATTACATGAAAGTATGACTGAATGATGACAATCTTTAGAAAGAACCCACTAAGCACTGCCTGAATGTTGCAATATTAGTGAAGAAAACCGCAACAACTATTTTATTAACTGAAGCGTTAATATACTTATCTTTCAAATAGTATTGTATTGTGTATTTATATTAAGTAGCCTGTCAGCCTGCCAAACAAAGGATATGGTTCCATTGTAACTATGTAATTTCCATAAGGTCAGGTATCACTACTTTGAAAACAATTTAATATGAAACAAAGCCATAAAGTACAAAAAAAACAACGACGAATCGACGATATGGCTCGCGAGTCGCGAAATCTGTTGCCATATTTATTTTAAAATATTTACAGAATTTTTTTTGCGCATGACACTGGCACTTACCTGACTCAATGCCACCTACAATCCCTGAGAACCCAGGTTCGTCCCCAAAAAGGTCTTGGATTCGCAAACTCGTTGCTTTCGGCGGGGCTGGCGGCCTTCCTCCCCCGGTCTTTCCCATAGCATTTTTGTCTCGGCAAAAATCTTTTCGCGCCTCATTTCTCATAGCCCTCCATTTCTCCCGTACGTCGGACGAGCTCCTTTTCGCTACGCCAAGAGAATTGACCTTGTCGGAAATGTTTTGCCAAACGGCTTTCTTTCTTTGATTCGTTAGGGTTGACGAGAATTTTTCACGAATTGTTCCTATATTTTCTTCGGCCAATTGCAAAATTAATGCACATTCAGCCGAAGAAAAATTTGGCTTTCTTGCGCGTTTGCTGTCCATTTTTTGTTTTTCCCGCCCTTACTACGGGCGGAAAAAACCGGTTTACTCTGGTTATATCTGATTTATCCAGCGGATAGTTAAACGCGACGCTAAACGGGCTTTGTACAACGCAATTTTATCCACCGTTTAACTATCCGCCGGATAACAAATTTATACGCTGGATAGCAGCTAAACACCGTTTAGCTTAAACGCCGTTGATACAACCGGCCCCAGGTCAATAATATCAACGTCCTTGAGGTGAGACCATTGTTGAACGTCCGTAGCAGTTGGAATACTCTCTTGAGCAACCGGGAAACTTTCAGTTGTCCACACTTTATTTAATCTAACGCCCTTACCAGTGGAAACCCCAACAACATCGAGAGACAACTGATGACCTCTACTCTTCTGCTTTCCAGACACGGTTGATAACGTGAATTCAACAGGTGTACAATCAGCACCCAGTTCTTCGGCTAAACTGGATAAACACATAGTTGTGTTGGACCCACTGTCCAGGAATGCATACGTTTCTATCACGCGATCGCCGTAGGGGGCGCTAACCTTGACTGGTACGACTTGTAAACCGACGCGCCCGTTGCTGGATGAGGAATTTGTTACACCAACTCCTGATATAGAGAGCCCACCGTTTGGGGTATGTTGCGTAGACGTTGTGCTGTTTCAGAGGGTGAGCCCGAACCGGATCCTGTTTGACCAGGCTTAGTTTCCTGTTTGGGTGCAGCTTCGGAGGAATGTAACAAGGGGTGGTGTCTTCTTTAGCAACCTTCATTGCCGCATATGCGAGCGCCTCTGCAGTTCTTTACGAAGTGCCCTGGACTTAGGCAAGCGTGGCAGACTCTCTTCGACTTTACCAATTCACGTCGCTGTTCAAGACTTTGGGCTTTAAACTTATGACAGCGCTCAAGATGATGTGTGCCTTTGCATAAGACACACGATAGATTCCTTCCCTTTGACTCGTAGACTTGCTCAATATTCTGCCCGTGCATTGCTAAGTTCGTGTTGTTTCCGTGGAAAAAAGGTGGTTTTCTTCCTTTGTCCCCTCCGTCTTTACGCATTTCCGCTCTTGATGTGATGATTTGACCAAAATAGGTATTGGCTACCGCCGCTCGGGATTGAACGAGCTCCGTGAGATGAGAAAAACTGGGTGTGATGTGATTATCGTACAACTGACTTGCCTTTTCGGCCCACTTCGATCTAAGGTGGATTGGGAGGCGTCTGACTACCTTACCGAGAGTATCAATAGAGTTAATGTTCGCTCCATTGCCCAATTGAGTAGAACCGAGGAGACAGGTTTCCATATCACGGGATAGTTGTGACAACTTGTCATTTTCATTTACCTTGTTGGGCGGTCCACCGACGACTTTGTCCAAGAAGGCTTGAGTTACTATATGATTACGACCAAAGTTTTTTTCTCAAGATTTCCTTCGCGCGTTTGTATCCCTCTTCTGGCGGCATTATGATGCAATGTTCTATTGCTTGTCTTGCTGCTCCCTTACAATACTGAATTAAGTAATTAAGTCTATCTGCATCATTGGTTTCCTTACTTTCGACATTCACCTCGAATTTTTTTATAAACAATGGAAAATCACGTGGTTCTCCATAAAAACTCATGTATTCTCTCTGTGGCATTCGTAAGCCCTTAACTACTTCATCCATTGTAATCTGCTGTTTCTCTAATAAGTGTTGTAATTGAAACGAGCTATCTTGCTGTGTGGTTTGTGGCTCAGATACTGTAGGTGTCGCAGGGCTGACAACCGAATTTTGCTGCCGGGGACTGTCATGATTGGTGTCATTTCTACGGTCCAAGGCCCTATCTAGGACCCCCCCACCGTGGCCATAGGTTTCCTCTAACTGAAGCAGCTCAGCTTGTTGTCGCGCTATTTCTTGTCTTTTCATCATTATCTCGTGCTCTACTTTGGCTCGACTCATTTCCTGTTCTAGCTTAAGCCTTGCATTTTTCATTGTTTATCTAAGCTTCTCTATGCGCTTTTTGTATTTCTTCTAACTCGCGCCACCTTTCTACCCATGTCGTGTCAAACAAATTCGTAACGCCAGCCCCGATTCCCTCATAATTCACCGTCCGAGTGGGAGTTTCCCCCCTGGCCCTGGCATCAATGCTCGTGGTGCTCGCACGCGCTTGTTCAGGTGTATTTTCTTCGTGATTGTCACGCGCGGAACTATCGTGCGTGGTGTCCACGCGACCATGCATGTTTTTGTCGCGTATATTATTTAAATTTGCCTCAAACACAGCGGCTAAAGGTGACAAAACTGAGTTATTTTGCGAGTAGGAGGCGACACGACTTAAACCAACCTCTAGCTGTTGTTGTTCTTCATATCGTTCATCTCGTTGTGGACTAAAACTCGTCGTAGCCTCTTCAGAGGCGACATGTATCGGGTCTTGCGGTTGAGCGACACTTAACACTCCCTCGGCTTGTTCACTCGATTCGCTGTTGTTGTCTTGCAATGGTTCCGGCGTATTTTGAGGTTCTGGAGCGTTTGTATCGTTCAGCTGTTCTTCTCCGGACTTATCTCGACACGTATGGGGTGCAGAACTAGATTCTCGCCCAGACAACGGCGACTGTACGCTCGATCGTACGTTTTTCGAAACGTTTGCTTTCTTGCTCGAATTTTTTCCTTTCTTTTTCATAGGCATAGCGTGGTCAGTTCAACATCATTCAAATCCACCGAAACGAGAACTATGTAAGCTTCAAACGGCTCCCTTGCTTACTTTAAGAGCAAGCATTGCCAGTACATATAAAACGAGACACGCGTACAACATACACCGAGATTTTTCGTCTTTAATTTTAAACAATCTATTTCTGGGTACGGTTCTATCAACAATAAATTTTTATCTTTAAAATTATTATCTTTCTAAACAAAAATTACAAATTTATAATGATTTTTACCTCGTATTTGCTATCAAAAAGGATCCATGTACAAAAAGGCGTCCAAGCACATGGAAAAACAAATTGTACATCCGGGATTTGCATAATCTATGATAATTAATTACCCTCGATCCTACATTCTCCATCAGCACCGATGGACAATATCTCTTTACCGATCATATATTCAATTCTCCATCGGTACGACGGACACTAGTGGCAGGAGTAATTTTAGCAAACTAACCACCGGTATGCTTGCTGGAGTATTGGAATTGGACAATACTCGTTCTTCAACACAAAGACATGGCTGACAAGCCACTGCAGTCCCGATTTCTCAGGCCTAAAATTGTGCTTAAAAAAAAAGTATGTTTATAATATTAAGTGGTGGTTGCCTTTTTTCGATACATCCTGTAGAGTTATCGTTCCAATTTCATTTGCGTTCACTGGTGCATACTGCTTTACACACGCGCGCCACAATTATTGGTCCACTGTGGTTTTAAAGAGCAGCAATCCTGTTTAGGACACAAATGTACTAAAATTAAAAATACGGCAAAATTTAGTCCAAGACCACCACCTTTCTTATAGTCTAGGAAAATGTCGCAAATGGTTTGGTCCTTGTCAACGCTTAGTAGAGCGCCGTATTTCTTGTTCTCCGATACAATATTGAAGACTTTGAATTAATTAAAGCCATCCGCAAGATTATTTATTTTCATTCTGTATAGGTACATATGATTATGATTCATATAACACACTTAAATGTCACAATTGACCGAAAAGACAATAAAAAATACATCGCATCTTAAATCTCAAAAAACTCCTCAAATTAAACATCTATCAAAAATGACCATAAATTCATCCGTACAGGTTCACACTATCATTCGTTCGCGCTTCACAGGATATGATAACAGCAATCTCGGGCAAGGTTCCCAATAATTATCAACAATAATATGTTTAAGCTTTGAGAGAGCATCGTGCCCCCTTCTCCTGATGTTGTTGCTGCTTTTGTGCTGTTGGTGGGCAATGTATGATTAAGGTTCCTCCATAATCGGTACTCATACTTCAGGGTATCTCCATTTTTTGGTTTGAGTAAATCAGCACCGACTGGGGAAAGTTGACCATTTAAGTAAATAAACCAATAATAATTCGTAGATACATTTTCTTCAACGCAACATATTGTGGTAATGTAACGGCCAAAACTGAACGTCGTGTAGTTGAAAATATAACACGGGTTGATCTGTGAGGCGAGTTGAAGGAATTCAAAGGCTGTCGTTCCATTTGGAGCTACGATTTGTTGTGGAGGTAAAACATTTGGGTCTGGATAATTGTTGAATGTAAGTTTGACAGAAACGGAAACCTAAGAAAATCGTTCAAGAGGAATTTTAATTCGATGGTAAAATGCGCAAAACGGGAAAATTGGAGGGCAATATTCTACAACTTAATGTGTATTTAGGCATTATATCTAGGCATTTCTGTTCTAGGCAGGTCTGTTTTAGACGTCGAACGTTTCATATGCCAGATCGAATGCGAATGAACTTAAACAAAGACGTTGGCTCATCCACAATTACGTTCGGTACAGTAAAAGTTTGATTCAAAAATGTCGCTACTATCCTAAGAAAAAAGCTGGTTAAATTGCTCTATATTATATATATTTGGTTCGCAGCAAAAGTTCAAGAATGAGAAGAATCAAGAATGTCGCTTAGAAATTTCCAAGAGAATAATTTCTTTCAAGATAGAGCAAAATGCACGATGTAAGAATGTTATGTGTATAATATCTTACCGTTGCAGTAGCGTTATCAGCTCCTGTATAAGGAATATTTCAGGTTAGAATTGTGCTAATAGATCATAAAATATTTTTTTGGGAATTATTGATGCGTGGAATTAAGCCGGTTTTCCACTAGGCGATATTTTTTGATGGAACGAAATTTTTCGCTCAATTTTCTTTTCAATTGTGACCGGTGATGCAAGGCGTCCGCAACGGTCGATTTCTCGCAATTGAAAAGAAAATCAAGCGAAAAATTTCGTTCGATGAAAAAATTTCGCCTATACTGGAAAACCGGCTTTAAAGGCGGTTTTCCCCTAGGGGGAATTTTTCGACCAAGCGAAATTTTTCGTCCGGTATTCTTTAGACCAGGTCTATCATGACTTTCTGCCGATGTAGGTAAGATTGCATATATGCATATATCCGTACTTCAGTTCCCAAACATGAACAAACTTTCTGGGGTGAGCGTTCTTAGATATGAAAGTAAGCACGTCGAGAAGTTTTTGTCTAAATGCATTCACCGTATATTTCCATGCATGCAAAGTCGAAATGTACTTCACATAAAGTTCTGAAGGTATAATAAACTACTAAAAGTATTACTTTCAAGGTATAAACATACCTGCAGAAGTTGTATTAGAATGAGAACCACCAGTAGAGTTTATAAACCGGTACTCAAATTTAAGGACATCTCCATTATTTGGCTTTATAAGATCAACTCCAACGGGAGATTGGGTGTTATTGATGTAGACGAACCAGTAGAACTTTGATGTTGTGTTTTGTTCTACACAGCATATGGTGGTTATGTAATGACCAAGACTCGGGTATGTTATGTATTGAAATAGATAACATGGGTTTTGATCGGAGGCAAGCTGGAGAAATTGAAAAGCTGTTGTTCCCTGTGCCGCAGTCACATTTATAGCTGGTATGACATCTTCATTTGTGAGGTCAGTAAAACTGAGTTGAACTTGAACATAAATCTGAGCCAAGAAAAACAATATATGAATATTCGCCCCCCACCCATTATCGTTCTAGTTACGCCCCTGTATACACTTAAACTTGAAGATTTTAGGCGGAGGTTGAGTTTGAGTTTTCTCGTATATGCATGATTAAAACAAGAAATTCTCTTAGTTCTGTTTTTAACTTACCAATTTGTAGTCGAACTCATAAGTTTAATTCACTTTGCGTGCTTGTTTTGATTACCCAGGGAAACGTATTTTAATTCAAATCCCAGAATAGAAGCGAAATTAGTTGCACAGGCATTAAAATAGACTTTTCTTATAATGATGTGAAATGCGGTAAGACTGATGTTGATACTAAACTATCGAGCCAATTAAACTTGGTGTAACATCAGACTTTGCGCGTTTGACGTCATTATGAAAAAGTCTATTTCAATGGCTGCGCAAATAATTTCGCAACTAGCGTAAAGTTCATTTTTTGGATATGAATAGCAAATTTTTATTCACCTTTCGACAGATCGTAAATTTTAATACGTAAATATATAATAATGGCAGATATACAAATTAAACAAGGTCATATATATACATATATAAACATTTATGGTCATGCGATAGGTATATTATTTCAAACTTACCGTTGGACTGGGGCCTGTGAAATAAGAATAACATAAACTTAATTAAATCAATAGGGGATATATAATTATAGTAAAATATAGTAAAAATGTGGCACAATAAGAATGAAATAAAATAATGCGCGAGAAATGGCGTCGGAAACACGATAATCGGCGGGCACATATTAATATGTTCATTGAAAAGACAATCGATTTGGGAAAGAACGTATATGAAAATGCCCCTCCTCCGAATTATCGTGCTTCCTGCGCCAATGTGCGCGAGACATTAATGTAACGACGAAGGCTTGCTTTTGAAAGTGCGGATTTTTACTCCAAAGTGCATAGTAGCGGAACAAAATATTTAAATACTATTAACCTTGAATCTAGACTGCAGCCTCTTTTGCACGTTTATATATTTAAATAAAAGAAGCTGATCTGAGTCTTAAAAGCAACCAATCAGAAACCAGATCTTTGACAAAAGTATATATTATTATTTTATTGGACCGAATCGAAAATATCAAGTAAATTTACTATTTTTATGCGGAAACACGTTTAATTTTTTCTAACTGTAAATTATGATTGTGATTTTTCGCCCTTTATACTATTAGTTAGAAGAACGGGGACAAATAACACCAGGCACATGATAACTCAATTTGTCGGAGCGCCTTATGACGCCATAATCTCATATCAGTCGGAAATGCGTCGACACTTTGTTCGAGCTTAAAGCATTTTACTTTAAAAAGCCCTCTTTTAGAATGACATCTAAATTAGTTATAGTAAAAATATTATGACCCAGTCCATTTCGAAAAATCTGACCCTTCACAATGACGTACGTAATGATTCTTCTTGTTTGGTCGATGACGTTTCTAGGCGGATTTTGACAAGTCTCTAGGGCGTGGCTTCAATGTTTTGTTCAAAATTCAAACGTTGTTGACAAAGCTGACCGAAATAGAAAGCCAAAATTACAGAACGTTAAAGCTACGCCCTAGAAACGTGTCAAAAACCGCCTAGAAACGTCATCGCTAAACGGTTAACGACAAACATGTAAACTTAAATGTATCCCTTAGCAATCCCGAATATTTTTTCTAAGAAAATACACAAAGAACGTGGGAATTAAACAAAAAGTTTTATTGCTTAGTGTTTTACTACGACTGGTTATTTCAGTCGTTATTTTCGTCCAAATAGTTTTTTCCATTGCATGGTTGTTTCACTAAATCTCGCTAAGTTTTAATTGCGTTTATATTATGCATCATTTGCAATATTCTTAGTGCAATATGATAAGTCGATCTTTTGAGGTGTCATATAAAACAAATAATTAATGTTTTCATTCATGCAATGGTAAGAAAGGAAGGAATTTTTGGAACATTCCATCTTACACCTCATGAAATTATTCTTACCATTGCATAAAATTCATTATTAGTATACTATTACATGCAATGTGGGCAGATGTTAACAGCACTCCTGCATAGGTGCACCCGGTGGGGGAAGGGAGCTGCTGGGGGAAGCTACCCCTAGAGACATTTGAGTCTAGGGCTGTTGGGCAAATTGTTATCGAATTGTATCAACATTCGCGCAATTTTTGCTAAAATTACATATACGGTGACATGTGGGGTAAATCAGTTTCTCCTGCGTGATTCGAGAGGTTTTTGCTGTAATATAATTAATGAAATAAATAATTTTGCTAAGTAGGGACGTAAATCCGGACAACGTTCAGTGAAACAGATTATAGATATCTTATCAAGTTGACACGGCGAGCCAGAGATATGATACAGTTTTTCTGGTTTATTTTTCTATTTACGATTTAGTTATTATAACTGTTCGTTTCTTTAGAAATTGATTATTATCGCAATATTAGCCTAATATTAATGCCGAAATATTAGCCTATTTATTAATTAATAGGACAAAAGCCGATTCCCCACTAGCGATATTTTTCGCGCGAAGCGACTTTATTCCTTTGTATTCAAGCAATTTATTCCAGATGGTTGCAGTTGAGAGCTCTGAAACAAAAGTGAAATGTCGCTCCGCGCGAAAATTATCGTTAGTATATAGGAAACTGGCCTAAATCGATAGGCTGGCGACGCTACTAAAATTCGTACGTTTCCGAGATAGCGGACAAAATACTACATGATAATTATGATAAAAAGTTTTAGATAGTTTGTGTAACCTTTTATCACAGTTATTGAAATATACATGGTTTGGAGACTAAATAAAAGTACAATACAACTCATTAACTATGTTATTGTCCAGGTTTATGCAAAAAATGGTTTCTTTCTCGTCACGTGTCTATTGCATTTTAGCCAAATTTACCAATGGCATTCGTCTTGCTAAGCTCCTCAACCTTGACTTGAAAAATATGTTAATTATAAGATTGCTTTTGGTTTATCTGTGTAAAATACAATAGACACGTGATGAGAAAGGAACAATTTTGTGCATAAATCAACCTCAACATAGTTAATGGTTGTATTGTTTTATGTCGTCGCCAAACCATGTATATATTCTATCAACAGTGGCCACTTTCAGTCTTTACATGCAGTAGCGTAGCCAGCCTGTCGATTTGTCCCGCTATGCTAATATTTTTGTGTTCACTGACTGTGAAAACAATAGATTTCTAAAGACATGAATAATTATAATAACTCGAAATTTGCATAGCGGGACAAAATCGTCAGGCTACGCCACAGTTTACATGCATGCATGGCCATGGGGATTATTTGCGGTAGCGTAGCCATGTGATGATTTCTTTCGTAGACGTGGGCGCTGCAAATATAGCAATTAAAAACAACCAAAGTATTATGATAATTAATGAAATGCTTTATTCTACTTAACTACCCTTATCTATATACTTTTTCCTACATTATTTTTAAACAAACCCGATCGACCCAGACAGTGGCCGTCTCGATTCTTCGACTAGCGTCCAACACTTTGTCTGACATGTATCACCAAGCGATTTCCAGCGAAACCCCTCGTTTCGTGTATTTTGCTTTATGACTAAATCAGTTATTGCTTCCCTGATTCGTTCAGTTTCACGAAACTTCTGGGTTTTGCCTTGATCAGTACTGAAACCCATCGCTTCAATTTAGCTTAACTTTCAATGCTTTACTTCAACTTTATCAAATATAGGATAAATTTCCAAACGGTTCACTACGATACCCCGCTTACTCTACTCAAATTTTCTTTATAGCTCTTAGGACCGTTTTACTCATTTACTGACTTGTCATGTTTCAACTTCTCGCTTTAAACTCTCTCCTTGGTTTTTATATCCATATATATATCCATATATATATTTATTTCTATTATATTACCATATTTACACCCAATTAACATATAATTATAATATACAACTATCTTTCGTAGTCTCTTAGCACAGGTATAACGTGCAGTGAAATCTAAGTTAAAGTAAACTTAATACATAAATAAAAACATCCTTTGTGTGCGAAATCGACTCTCGACATTTTACTCTCGACTCCCGACATTTTATTATCGACTCTCGACAATTACCTAGACTCAAATAATGTTGAATTGCGCACTATATAAGGAGTCATCTTAAGTACACCCACGCACGTATTTGTCTTCCTCTAAGTTTTTAGCTAATGTCTTCATCTGTGTCAGGGCATATTATCAGTTGGCAATATATATATATTTCGTCTTTATTCTCATAGCATTTTTGGCAGCGTATTTATGTGTATTTGCGATGATATTATTTCAGTTTCCTTAGATAGAATCGATTTTTTTCGATTTCTTTATATATTTCATGACAAACATAAGGACTTATTTCATTATTGACGCGTTTATAAAGCTCCATACCAATGTTGGCAGATTTTAGTTGTGATTGATTAATTGCATAGCACCGAATATATAAATATTAATAAGGTAAAGCAAATCAACAAAACAATAACTTAGAAACTAGTAGAATTCCGGAGGAAGCTATTCGCCGTTGAGTTAAAGATATTTAATATGATTTGCATTATACATTTTTACTAATACCCCCCCTTGTATATAACGCTTAGGCATATTTCTTTTCTTCAATTATAAGGAAACTTTTATATCGCAAGTCACAACGTCAACGTATCTATGAATTCCTATGCATACACTAACTTAGTGATTTAAACTAAATATATACCAGGGTCTTTCGAGTGGAATTATACATACTTCAAATTCAAGCCAGGAAAGTGTGTATAATTTACTCGAAATCAAGACCCTTTGAACCTCTAGAATTTACCTGCATCGAGTGAAGTGTCAATTTGATCTACCCTAAATATATAAAATTATAGCTTCTGCATTTTAGGAAGTTAAGCTACGGCGATGCGTTGTTAGTTCGATTCTAATAGCTACTACCATCTATTTTCCATCTATAGAGAAAGATTTCCACCTGGATCTTTCTAACAAGCCCTATGGGGCCTGATCGACCCATATCTGCATTCTGTTTATGTAAATCTAGCAACAAGGTAGGATAGAACAACGAACTAGAATGCTGATGTATTCAAAACAATTTAAAACAACATTTCTACTTGTTGTTGTGTATTATCAACGACACATTCCTAAATGACGCAGTCAAAAGAGAAGAATCAGTACTCTACAAAACCTACCGACAGAGCCGTGAATCTTCGCCAATGACCCCAAACATGCTAGGAATAGTATAATCAAGTTAAATTTCATGATTTGAACGTCTTCGTTTGTGTAGCACGTCTTGACAGGAATGAGGTAACGCAGTTATAGTTTATTCTTAGAAGGATACAAGACTTACAAGTGTTTACACACACCCTGGGTGATTAACAACAAGAAGTCGACATCCGTTTACGTCATAGTTTCTTTTTCATCAGTCGCAATGTCTAGCGTGCGTGGGTGATGATAACTGGACATTAAAAATATCATGATATTGGTATTTCTTCTGAATATTTTGGTTTTCTTTTTTGATTAGGAAAAGGAAAGCCAGTGATTACTCATATCTTGTATTATCTTAGTTATACTTGATCGAAAGAAAAACTGACAATCAAGAAAATAGAAAAAAGTTCTGCGAAGCTTATTGTCGCCCTTTATAGATTATCATCGAAAATTAATGACAATTAAGATAGCTGCCACTTGTATACTAAGATAGCCTTGTGTAATATGTATTAAAATGCTAAGGATGAAGAAGTATAAATGCAGAAAACATCGTCATTCTGGACCTTACAAACGCAAGTGAGGTCATCGATCGAGCCGGAAGTTTATCTCATATGTATTATACATGATAAAATTTTAAAAATATAGAAAGTCATTATGGGACAAGTGGAATAGAAATATGTAGGCTCGTTACGCTTGCAAATTTTACGGTGATAGTCGGCGCTGTTTTGGTCATTTGATGGATTTGACAAGTATCTGTATTCGCACATCTGTTATTTATCCGCTCGTTCACATTACTCAAAAGAAGAAAATCGTACTTATATCAATGACATGGGAGATATAATTGATTTTTGTCACAAAATGCGTATAGGTAAATATAATTTTTGGCTACTCACAATCATTAATTGCTTTTCCTTCCATGCATGTTCTTGTGGCAAAAAATCCTTATTCACGTATGCCAAGTGATATTTCCCACTGTTCTCAATACTCGTAATTATATGCGAAGGTGATTTTGGAATAAATTTAACACGTACCTAATAAGAGGTTTAGTCAAGGATATCGCGGTTTCTTTGGGATTACTAAGGGATCGTAGTTCTTGAAGTTTTAGTATATCGGTGTGGCTGTTCCAGCGGAGGCCAAGCAATTTCGTTTCGGTGTTTTCTTCGCGAGCGTTTTCTTCTTCGGTGAGTGTGCGAATTTTTGGAACTGTTTGAGTTCCATTCTCGTAAGTTGAACTGGCCGACAGACATCATCGATCTACTGTGATTGAAGTAAATCGAGGCTTCGTCTTCGTTATCTGTGCCAGATGCTAAGTTGTCTACACAGATGTCAGCTTTCATTCTTCGCGTAATGTGGTCGTCCTGGTTATGAAGGTGCTTCTTGATCGTGGCGTTCAAGATAAAGGGAGAACATGATGCACCGAATAAGATCGACTTGAATCGATACACGTCGAATTTACGTTCAGGGTTGGATGGGTCACATAACCAGAAAAATCTTGTTGCGTCCCTGTCGTCAGCATCCAACGTAATATTTAGAAAGGCTTTCTCTATGTCTGCAGTTAAGGCATACCGATAGCATTGAAAACGGACGAGCTCGAGGTTGGCGGTTATGTCATTAGGGATGTCAGGACCAGTGGAAAGGCACGAGTTTAGGCTCGGTTGGCTGGAACTGGAGCTACAACTACAATCGCATAGGTGTGGTCGGGTAATCCTTTAAAACAGCGTGATGTGGAATGTAATAGCAGTAACCGTTTGTTGTTTTGGGATTGGTAACCTTTTCGATGAAACCTCGTTGTAGCTGTTCCTTGATAAGTTCATCGTAAATTTTCAGCATCTTTGGATCCTTAGCTAGTCTCCGTACAGTGGAGCGGGTTGTTCCTCGTGCTACTGCTTCCGGCGTTGGCGGGAGGGGATCGTGGTTAGGTTTCCATGGTAACTTTGCGCAGTATCGACCATTCTCTACTCGTATTGAGAAGTCCATGTATGTTTGAACAAACTTCTCTTCGTGTTTTGTTGTCTCGTAATTATAATTAATAATGTTCTGGCACTCATTTATTCGAGGTGCCAGAGCATCTTTAAAAACCTGCCACCGCTAAAAGTTTCATGGAAAAGCGATATACTCTACCATGGGTAATCAGACTCGATTAGCTATGCTATTTTTGATTACCTGTGCCAAATACATGCTTTATATTTCAATATAATATTGTAAATAACAGTGATGGTGTGTATGAGGTGCATTAAATTATTGTTGTTGTTGTTATTGTTGTTGTCTTGTTTGGCAGGATTCCGATAGACTCGAGGTTCCAGAATTGGACTCGAGGTTCTAGAACTTTGTCCTCGTGTTCGCTTGAAACGATGGCCTTTAAAATAGTCACGTTGAGTGATGTGGTCATTAGAGTCTGTCCGGTTGTGGCTCATGAAAGCAATTAGCCTATTCTTAATTTCGCTGCGGTTGGGCCGGGTCCTCTAACGATTTCGTCTTGGACAACGCCCAGTAGTGGTCTGCACCGATCAAGAGAGACATGCATGTGGAAGTGATCGTCAGTCGTCATTGGATATGCGAATTTTAAGCCGTTAAAGTGTGGGAGGTTTCGAATTTCAGCGGTGATGAAACTTCTCTGTGGAACTGGGACTGTAGGAATTATCAATACTTGAATAGGAATTGTTTCCCCATCTTCCGTGTTTAGATTGATCGTAGCTGCATCCACATGTTTGATAGAACCCAATCGAAGTTCGATCGAACTCCTCAGCGACAGAAGAGGAAAAGTCCACCGTCGACAAAGATCTGGATGAAAAGAATCCCTCAACAAATTCACAACCACATTACGTTACCGGTGGAGAGTCAAGTAGACCTGTACGAGCAAAGGCACAACAGGCAAAGGAGAAATTGAGACATGGGGCATCCATACTCTCGCACCCTTCAGAGGATGTCAAGAATTGACAGTATATTGGCACATTTGCTCTTAATTCTACACACTATATCGCACATGATTGGTTAGTTACGAAAGGATAGAAATACACTCGCACTAGGGGTAACGGGGACTTTTGGAATATTAATTTTTAGATATCAATAGCTATAACACTTTTGTAATTAGTTCGAATTCACTTGACTTTGAACTTGTGCGTTCTTGTATATATATATATATATATATAATTATATATATATATATATATATATCTATATATATATATATATATATATATATATATATATATATATATATATATTCAAAACTATGGTGTAGATCGTCTATGATTTTATCGGAAGAACCTAATATATATTCAAAACTATGGTGTAGATCGTCTATGATTTTATCGGAAGAACCTAAGCATTCTTAAGATCTTGTTATCGTCGTAGTAATTGACACAGCGCAAGACTTGGTATTTCAAGTGACGAACGAGGCACGTATGTACCTATGATTCGGATCGACCGCCAGTGTCTCATTTTTCAAATAATCCTTGTCGTCCGTTTGCCCAGTTTATTCGCGCAACGTTGATGGAATGGACTAGGAATGGCACTGTATCGTAACTTGGGAGAGTTGGTGAAGTAGGAATGATTCGTTTGGTTCTTCCATTAACCGTTGACCCAAATAAGCCTAGATTATGCTATGATGCACATTTTTTTGTTGTGTATCAAAGACAATCTTTTTCAGTTAGGCCGGCTAAGTGACCTTCTTCGGCATGTTGAGCGTGATTCTTACCAGACGGTCCTCGATGATAAGTCGGGTTATGATCATCTGTTGCTTGACCAGGATACGCGTCGATATTTTGGTATACAATGGGGCGGATGGGTTTTCGTATATAATTCTCTTTCTTTTGGGTGAAAAACGTCTCCATACTACCGGGTTGGTGGTATCTCATTACTTCCGTTCGATTCATATACCGTGTTCGTTGTATATTGATGACCGACACGATGGCCAGTTACGCGTTTCCTTAAACCAGGGGGCATAAATTATTCACTTGTGGACGATGTTGACCAGCGCTGTTTTTTGGCCGCGAAATCAAATCTGTTTTTAGTGACGTATTTTTTTACCCGGTTGGGATATTTTCTCAATTTGTCGAAATCTATTCTGGTACCTCGTAAGGTGGTGCGCTATATCTTGGGTTTTTGGTTAATCAGTCTTTGGAGGAGATATTTCAAATGATTCCAGAGAAGCAAGCTAGTTTTTTGGCTTTAGTGTCGGAGATTTTAATGTGGAGGACGGTCACTGTCAAAGTTTTGCAAACATTGGTAGGGAAACGTGTGTCTTTCTCGCTGGCCGTTCCTGCGCTATTTTATTCACCCGTGAAATAAATGCAGCTATTTCGAAGGCTCAAAGAACGGGCAAATCGATTCGGTTACGTGGTCCATCGTGAGAAATGGTTGCTCATTGGTCTTCGTTGGATGCTTGGCGTCAATCGTTGCCTTGGAGGGAAGAACGCCGTACTCAGGTGACAGTTGCTTCAGATGCATCGGCGTTTGGCTGGGGTGGTCAAATGACCTCACCGGCGTTTTTCGAGGTGTCCGACTATTGGTCTCCGTGGGATGCACGATGGGATATCTCGGTTAAGGAGGCAATTGCTTTGGAGACAGTGTTATTCTCAGAGAGGAGATTGAGAATACCCGTGTAGATGCTACAGTCGACAATCAAGCGGTGATTTGTGCGTGGACCAATGGTGGTGGACGTGGTCCCGCACTGAATTGCGCACTTAAGCGTTTGCTTTTCATGCATGATCGTTACCTTTAGGGAGATTTGGGGGATAAGGAATGGGATTTAGGTATTGGTGAATTAAGAAGGATTGTCTTTAAAGGCGACGTGTGTATAGGGGGAGAAGGATGAAACAGGCGTCCGCTGACTAACGTTCATTCCATACCTAAATCAACTGAGCTAGAATGCGAGTATTGAGAAATAGAATACTTTTCTCAATACTCGTAATTATATGCGAAGGTGATTTTGGAATAAATAACACCTAATAAGGAGTTTTGAATAAAAGATAAGCATGGTGATGGAGAACCGCATGTATAAGAAGGCGATTCAACTCGGTTTTAGCTCAGTATCTTCAAGTCAGCAACAAAGTGAGTGTATTAGCATAGGCAGCCCAATTGCGACTCGCGTGCCTGACAGTGTTCAGGCAATGTAGGCATTATACAGGGTGTATCAAAAAAAAGTGTCCCAAATGTAAAATTTCGTTTTTCAGGATA